CTATTGAGCCTAAATAGAGGAATCAAATTTTATTTACACATGCCTCCATATCAGAAAACATCTTGCATTACAGCATTGGTGCCTCGGGACCAGTGGAAAGCCAACTTTGCAGTGGGTTCCTGTAGGAAGCATGTGCTCACAGTGAAGTAGACATATGTGCACTCATCACACATGGCTGCACACATATGAGGTAGCAATGATTTTTATGCAAATATGAGATTTATATAGGGAACCCACCTTGTGTGAAACAGCCTTGAGAGAGCCTTTGTGGGTGTATATGTGCATTGAGATGAACGGCTGTGTGGGAGAAAACCAAGAAAATTCATGTGCAAAAGTGTAGGTGGGCCACGCTTGTGTTCTAATATGTGCCAGGGAAAAAAGCATGTGCGCGACTCCAGAGCAAATAGTATATTCTGGGACATCTTAGCTAACATATTAAATCCTTTTATGAACTTCAATTCCTCTTTACTCACCCCATGCAATGTGATGGCGACAACCATTATCCTATGTTGCTATAAGGAACACAACATTGCTCTGTGACTAAAAAGCTGCCTACAACACTATAATGACAAAGACACCTCTAAGGTGCTTGCATATCCAGGCTCAAATTCTTTCTCTCCACCCTAGTCCAGAATACATGCACATGCTTACCCATTACCACCTTCCAAAGGACTGCTACTTTCAGTAATTTGCAGCACAATCAAAAGCTTGTTTACTCAGATGTCAATCCCATCCCAAGGATGGCAATTACTATGGCAATTTTGATAGCTGTCCACATTTTGCTGCACCTTAAGGTGTGTTCCCATTTATTGCTTGAGACTGCAGCTTTCATTTACCTTGTGGCATGGCCATTGTTGTTTAGTCGTTTAATCGTGTCCGACTCTTCGTGACCCCATGGACCAGAGCACGCCAGGCACTCCTGTCTTCCACTGCCTCCCGCAGTTTGGTCAGACTCATGTTTGTAGCTTCGAGAACACTGTCCAACCATTGCGTCCTCTGTCGTTCCCTTCTCCTAGTGCCCTCCATCTTTCCCAGCATCAGGGTCTTTTCCAGGGAGTCTTCTCTTCTCATGAGGTGGCCAAAGTATTGGAGCCTCAGCTTCACGATCTGTCCTTCCAGTGAGCACTCAGGGCTGATTTCCTTCAGAATGGAGAGGTTTGTTCTTCTTGCAGTCCATGGGACTCTCAAGAGTCTCCTCCAGCACCATAATTCAAAAGCATCAATTCTTCGGCGATCAGCCTTCTTTATGGTCCAGCTCTCACTTCCATACATCACTACTGGGAAAACCATGGCTTTAACTATACGGACCTTTGTTGGTAACGTGATGTTTCTGCTTTTTAAGATGCTGTCTAGGTTTGCCATCGCCTTTCTCCCAAGGAGCAGGCGTCTTTTAATTTTGTGACAGCTGTCACCATCTGCAGTGATCATGGAGCCCAAGAAAGTAAAATCTCTCACTGCCTCCATTTCTTCCCCTTCTATTTGCCAGGAGGTGATGGGACCAGTGGCCATGATCTTCGTTTTTTTTGATGTTGAGCTTCAGACCATATTTTGCGCTCTCCTCTTTCACCCTCATTAAAAGGTTATTTAATTCCTCCTCACTTTCTGCCATCAAGGTTGTGTCATCTGCATATCTGAGGTTGTTGATATTTCTTCCGGCGATCTTAATTCTGGCTTGGAATTCATCCAGCCCAGCCTTTCGCAGGATGAATTCTGCATATAAGTTAAATAAGTAGGGGGACAATATACAGCCTTGCTGTACTCCTTTCCCAATTTTGAACCAATCAGTTGCTCCATATCCAGTTCTAACTGTAGCTTCTTGTCCCACATAGAGAATTCTCAGGAGACAGATGAGGTGATCAGGCACTCCCATTTCTTTAAGAACTTGCCATAGTTTGCTGTGGTCGACAGTCAAAGGCTTTTGCATAGTCAATGAAGCAGAAGTAGATGTCTTTCTGGAACTCTCTAGCTTTCTCCATAATCCAGCGCATGTTTGCAATTTGGTCTCTGGTTCCTCTGCCTCTTCTAAATTCAGCTTGCACTTCTGGGAGTTCTCGGTCCACATACTGCTTAAGCCTGCCTTGTAGAATTTTAAGCATAGCCTTGCTAGCGTGTGAAATGACTGCAATTGTGTGGTAGTTGGAGCATTCTTTGGCACTTCCCTTCTTTGGGATTGGGATGTAGACTGATCTTCTTCCAATCCTCTGGCCACTGCTGAGTTTTCCAAATTTGCTGGCATATTGAGTGTAGCACCTTAACAGCATCATCTTTTAAAATTTTAAATAGTTCAGCTGGAATATCATCACTTCCACTGGCCTTGTTATTAGCAATGCTTTCTAAGGCCCATTTGACTTCACTCTCCAGGATGTCTGGCTCAAGGTCAGCAACCACACTACCTGGGGTATACGAGACATCCATTTCTTTCTGGTATAGTTCCTCTGTGTATTCTTGCCACCTCTTCTTGATGTCTTCTGCTTCTGTTAGGTCCTTTCCACTTTTGTCTTTTATTATGGAAATCTTTGTACGAAATGTTCCTTTCATATCTCCTATTTTCTTGAACAGATCTCTGTTTTTCCCCATTCTATTGTTTTCCTCAATTTCTTTGCATTGCTCGTTTAAGAAGGCCTTCTTGTCTCTCCTTGCTATTTTTTGGAAATCTGCATTCAATTTCCTGTATCTTTCACTATCTCCCTCGCATTTTGATTGCCTTCTCTCCCCCTCTATTCGTAAGGCCTCGTTGGACAGCCGCTTTGCTTTCTTGCATTTCCTTTTCATTGGGATGGTTTTAGTTGCTGCCTCTTGTATAATGTTGCGAGCCTCCACCCATAGTTCTTCAGGCACTCTGTCCACCAAATCTAAATCCTTAAACCTGTTCCTCACTTCCACTGTGTGTTCATAAGGGATTTGACTTAGATTGTATCTTACCGGCCCAGTGGTTTTTCCTACTTTTTTCAGTTTAAGCTTGAATTTTGCTATAAGAAGCTGCTGATCTGAGCCACAGTCAGCTCCAGGTCTTGTTTTTGCTGACTGTATAGAGCTTCTCCATCTTTGGCTGCAGAGAATATAATCAATCTGATTTTGATGCTGCCCATCTGGTGATGTCCATGTGTAGAGTCGTCTCTTGTGTTGTTGGAAAAGAGTGTTTGTGATGACCAGCTTGTTCTCTTGGCAGAACTCTATTAGCCTTTGCCCTGCTTCGTTTTGAACTCCAAGACCAAACTTGCCAGTTGTTCCTTTTATCTCTTGACTCCCTACTTTAGCATTCCAATCCCCTATAATGGGAAGAACATCCTTCTTTGGTGTCATTTCTATAAGGTGTTGTAAGTCTTCATAGAATTGGTCAATTTCAGTTTCTTCAGCACCAGTGGTTGGTGCATAAACCTGGATTACTGTGATGTTAAAAGGTCTGCCTTGGATTCGTATCGAGATCATTCTATCATTTTTGAGATTGCATCCCAGTACAGCTTTTGACACTCTCTTGTTGACTATGAGGGCCATTCCATTTCTTTTACGGGATTCTTGCCCACAGTAGTAGATGTGATGGTCATCCGAACTGAATTCGCCCATTCCCATCCATTTTAGTTCACTGATGCCCAGGATGTCAATATTTATTCTTGCCATCTCATTTTTGACCACATCCAACTTACCAAGGTTCATGGTTCTTACATTCCAGGTTCCTATGCAATATTTTTCTTTTCAGCATTGGACTTTCCTTTCACTTCCACTCACTGGCCATACCCTACTTTTTATTTTGCACATTCCCATACTAGCAATGGGACGGTGTCTTCCAGCACACCCAAGGGAAGCAGTCTAGCTTAGGAGGTACAGAAAAGGCTGTGTGGCACACATGGCTCTGTCTTCTAACAGTGAGTGGCGGGTGGCAGTTCGAATCCGTACGATGGGGTGAGCTCCCATTGCTCCGTCCCAGCTTCTGCCAACCTAGCAGTTTGAAAGCACACCAGAGCGAGTAGATAAATAGGTATCGCTGCGGCAGGAAGGTAAATGACATTTCCAGGCGCTCTTGCTTCTGTCATGCTGTGCCAGAAGCAGTTTAGTCCTGCTGGCCACATGACCTGGAAAGGTGTCTGTGGACAAATGCCAGCTCCCTCGACCTGAAGCGAGATGAGCGCCACACCCCATAGTCGCCTTTGACTGGACTTAACCATCCACCTCTGCTTGAGCCAATCACCTTACTCTGGTCAATGGTTGGGCCAGCCCTGTTACTAAGTCCTGCTTTGCTCCAACAAACCCATGCAAGGAAGTAGAAGCTACTTAAAATACCTGCAGCCACATGGAGACTGCCATGCAGCAAGCTCTGTGTTTCCTCTACGCCACTACTGCAAAGTTCATCACATTATCTACATGTACATTTAGCTATTAATACCTATACAAATTTTGTGTATATCTGAGCCCTCCTCCTGGCGATGGATTGCCTCTCTCTTTTGGCAATGCTTAGGTGGCTATGGCGGGAAATGTATTAAAGTTGCCTTTATGAAATCCATAAACCCTCCCCTATGACTTTTTTAAAAAGGTAGCGGTTGGGTCTCGCAAGATGTTTTCTATCATTTGAGCGCTGGATTGAAGGGGGGGAGAGCACGCGCGCGCTAAAGAGTTTCTGTGAGGTGAGGCGCCTGAGGACTTGGCGGGCGAGGCCGGCACCGCGCGCTTTTCGCCGGGAAGGCCAGGCGCGTGCGCGGTGGCGCCGGCCAGACCCCTCGGCGTGCTCGAGGCGGCGTGTATGAGAAGGGGAAGCGCAAAGTGCGTGAGCGAGGGAGACGGGGAGCGCGCTCGCGCTGTCTCTTTAAGCCGCTCACTCGGGAACCTGGGCGCGTGTTGAGCGCGGCGCCTCGCCTGGCGCGCCGCTCCGCTCTCCCTTCACTCGTGCCGGGGAGCTTCCTCAGGCAGACGCGGACGGGCGCTCCGGCTCCTTGCTCCCGGGCAGAGACCCTCCGCGGGGCGCGGCCCGCTAGTCTCTCCCTCCCTCCCTCGCTTCAACAGGCGTCATGGACCACGGCCCCAAAGAAGGGGACTCGGCCGGGGCAGCTGCCGGCGACGCCGCTCGAGGGGCTGCAGCCGCCGCCGCCGCCGCCTCCTCCTCTGGCGGCGTGGTGGTGCAAGTGCGGGAGAAGAAAGGACCCCTTCGCGCCGCCATCCCTTACATGCCCTTCCCGGTGGCCGTCATCTGCTTGTTCCTCAACACCTTCGTGCCAGGGCTAGGTAAGCAGCCCCTGCTTGGGGCGCCTCAGCGGGGGGGGGGGGCGCGCTCTGGGCGGGAAATGGGACGCGCCCAAGGCGTGGGAGGGTTCCTGTGGCTCGGGGAAAATCCCTCTCCGGGCGGGCGGGCATCTGGGCGAGCGCCATGTGCCCAGGGGCTGCCCTTGAAGGCTGTCGGGGCGGCTGCTTGCCTCACAGCGCCTCGGGAGAGCGGAGCCTGGGAGCAGGCAACCGCCTTCGCGCCCTCGCGGCTACTTTTATTGACGAGCAGCGGCCAATTAATTCCCCGCAACCTGCTGCTCTCGGTTACTTGGGAGATGTGAAAGTGGGTCGCCGATGTGAGATCGCAAACAAGTTGTTCGAGCGGCGGGCAGAGGGAGACGCAAGTAAGCTGGCGGGAGGAAAAGTACTTAATATGGGCAAATGAACCCACATAGGGATAGGTTGGCCTCCTCGGACAACGTTGCCTTTTCGCAGCTTGGGATCGGGGACAGGGTGGGCTTCTTTCCCCCCTCTTAAACCTAAGATGAACCCTGCTGGATCAAACCCAAAATCCATCTAAGTCTAGCATCCTGTTTTCCCAAAGTGACCCAGCCTTCTGGACGCCCACAAGCAGGCTCTGAGTGCAATCTCATTTTGTTGCTCTTTGCTCTGAGTGCAATCTAATTTTGTTGCTCTTTGCCACCTTTTACACGCACACTCACTCGCGCGAGTGTTACTTCGAGGTACATTGTCTTTGGACACGGAAGCTTTCCTATAGCCATCCTGACTACTAGCCATTGATAGGGCTTGCTTTCCATATTAGGAATAGGTCTTAAAATTCTGTCCAAGGCATCGAAACTGGTGGCCGTCGCTACAACTTGTGGCGCTGAATTCCACAAGTTAATGATGCCAGCGCGTGTGAAGAAGTGCTTTCTTTTGTCTAGCCTGAAGCTGCCGCCGATCGGTTTCTTCTTATGCCTGCAGCCATGGTAATGATCATCAATACAGTACAGTATTGGTGTTTTGAGTGTGAAGCTCAGGGCTGCAGTCCGCATTCCAGAACGTAATCCAGAAACCGCAAGGATAACATTGCTGATTCTGCATCCCCCATGTCTGCCAATCTTGTTGGGACCTTTACAGATAAAGGGAGGCGGAAGCAACTTTGGGTTAGCATATCCCCTACCTGCAGGACAAACTGCTCACTGTCGGCTTCCCGGCGTGTTTTGTTCGCTGAATTCTCATGCAGGAAGAGGCCGCTCTTCCAATGATAGCCTGCAAGGTTTTATGTATGCAAGGAGGAAGAGGTAGAACTTTTCCAAGGGGTGAAACTCCTCTTGAGTGGGAAAAGGAGCCGTATAGCTTCTTTGCAGCTCTGAACAGAAAAAGGAGGGCTGAGGGAAGAGCAAAACTGAAGAATCTTCAGAATGTCTCACGGGTGAGGCTATTTGAAAGGAGCTACAAGCTTTTATAGCTGCATAGGAGCAAATATTCAGTGAAAACTAGCTTTCCTGATATGGAGCTGCAGAAAGGGGATTTCTATCCATGCAGTAAACTGCATTTCTACCTGTGGTTGGAACAAAAGTGACCATCTGACAACAGGATGAGCTGTTTTCTTCCCCCAAACACCTGTAGGCATACAGGTGAAACTCGGGAAATTAGAATATCGTGAAAAAGTTCATTTATTTCAGTAATTCAACTTAAAAGGTGAAACTAATATATGAGATAAACTCATGACATGCAAAGCGAGATATGTCAAGCCTTTATTTGTAATAATTGTGATGATCATGGCGTAAATGAACTTTTCCATGATATCCTAATTTTCCGAGTTTCACCTGTATGTATTTTCTCTCAGCTGGGATGCCTTGACTTGTAAACCCACTTGTATATACTTTTGGGGAGAATATAAGGTGGGGAATTAAACAGTACACTGAAAAGGATGCTGCGTAGTGGGGCAGGGTCATGGTGGCTCAGCGGCAGAGCACATGCTTGGCATGTAGAAGATTCTAGGTTCAAGCCTCAGCATCTCCAGGTAGAGCTGGGGGAGACCCTGGTCTGAAACCCTGGAGAGCTGCTTCCAGTCAGTGTAGACAATGCTGATCTAGATTGACTCCAAATAAGTGAGAAATAAATTATAGTGATAGTCAAAAAGATGACTGAATGCATAAATGATAAATAACCCCTTCTAAACTGAGAGCTGGCAGAGCCCCTTCTGATTGCGAGGTGACTAGCTGTCATTCAGTTGTACAGTGTTGAGTGAAATGAGGTGTTAACAGATGTTGGCGTTGTTAAAATTACATTATATATATATTGTGTGTGTGTGTGGTGTGTTGCCACCTTGTGAATTGCTTTGTAGCCGGAGGATGTTGCTGCAGAATAGGCTCTGTGGGTTCTCTTGAGCTGTGGGTGGATTTTGGAGGACTCTGGACCTACTGAGATATCAAATACGTTCTCCTGGCTAACTTTACTGGTCTCTGAATGGTGAACTGAGAGAAAAAAAGAAACTCTCACTTATCCAGTTTGTATTCTACAGAAGCAATACATGTAGCAGTAATTGGTTCTCCACAGCACACTATCAGCAATAATATTAGCAGCCCTGTATTGGGAAGCTTTTAATGTGTGATGTTGTGTAGTGTTTTGTATATTCTGTTGGATGTCATCCAGAGTGGCTGGGGCAACACAGACAGATAGGGGAGTACAAATTATTATTATTATTATTATTATTATTATTAATTGCTGGTAGTAGCAGTATTAAAGGATTTCTGTCATTAGGTCTTTAGCTTGGGATGTACCTATCAATGCAAGTGGCTAAGACCCTATATGGGTCCTAGTTTGTTTCTCTTTAATCTATTGTCCACTAGCACCTATTATCCTTTTTATCCCACACCACCCCATTTATTCTCACAATGACCCTGTGATGTAGATTAAGATTGAGACAAATTCCATTATCAAGAACTGGAGATGCGCCCTAGAGAGCCAGTGTGGTGTAGTGGTTAAGAGTGGTAGACTCGTAATCTGGTGAACTGGGTTCGCATCTCCGCTCCTCCACATGCAGCTGCTAGGTGACCTTGGGCTAGTCACACTTCTCTGAAGTCTCTCAGCCCCACTCACCTCACAGAGTGTTTGTTGTGGGGGAGGAAGGGAAAGGAGATGGTTAGCTGCTTTGAGACTCCTTCCAGTAGTGATAAAGCGGGATATCAAATCCAAACTCCTCTTCTTCTATTTATGTGTTTGTCCTACTTGAAGGGTCAAAACAGTTTCATTCTTCCATCACAGTCTAAAATCTGTTTCTGTATGCTTTTTTTAAAGGTTAATTTTCAGGGATATATAATGGTTTATATTCTTGTGAGGGGGCATGCAGCCTCATCCTGTGCATGGTGGTTTAGAAGTAATCTCCATTGTGTTCATTGAAAACTCACTCCTAAGAAACTGGGCATAAGATTGCCACCTTAAAGTAGTGTTAGAAACTCAGATATATAAGCTAGGCACCAAATGGTTCCTGAAAGCAAAGTTACAGTCGCCAAAACGGAATGTCTAGTTGCCATTTGGAGGTAAGACAGCTCTAAAATCTTATTTTTTAAATGATGGACTGACTGTGACTGATTATCTATTAAACATCTGGCTAGGTCAGATGACTACTTGATCCAAGGACAGTCCATATATATACTGTGAGCAGGGGAGTGGGTTGGGGTAAGTGAAGACAAGCTGTAACAATTTAACTATAACATTGTTCACTGCTCCTACTCAGGCTGCACAGAAAAAGCATTTAGGTTCCTGAAATTCATTCCAATTGTGCAGATAAAATATAACTGATAGAATTCTCCAGGATGTGGTATTAGCGTGTGAAAACCGCCAAGATCCAATGATCCCCAGGCATGAACCTCCAGATGGTGGACATATCAGGCACAATCCTGGCACCCAGGCATCTTCACTTGGTCACAAATGGTTGATAGCCAGGTATAAAATGCACCTGACACCTGGCTGATTTCAAACACTGCCTTAAAGCCTTGCCTTCTTCAACATGACTCACTTTTTGTTTGATCTGGCTTTTTTCTTAATTCTGTTACAAAATGAAATGCTGTTGCTATTTTGTATGTTTACAAAGGTGTCCTTAAAACAAACAAACACACACACACACACACACACACAATGCACCATACAGACTGAATCAGCAATACTTGTTTGCTTTTCTGTCATTTTTCACCTCTGAGCACAGTCACAGGGAAGGAAGCAACAGAATGTCACTTTAGTTGCATCAAAATTTTCCGCCTCTTGGAGTAAAAGCACATTTATGCTCCATATGCTGAAACAGGAATTAATAGCTTGTACTTTACTCAATGTCTTTCACTTGTTTTTAAAAGTAATGATGGAAATGCCACAATGTGAATATTTAAAGCGTCTGGGAAATGAAGCCAAAGCTCTTGTAATATCTAGCTACCTCTCTTGTGCATTTGTACCAATACAAGAACCCAATTGTGGAAGCTGTAGTCATTTAAAACAACCTTTGTGTTCTAGCAATATGTTTTTGTACTATTTTAGCTGCTTTTATCATATATTTGTAAATCACCTCCAGATGCATGTTAGAGGTGATTCAATAATAATAATAATGTTGTTGTTGTTTAGTCGTTTAGTCGTGTCCGACTCTTCGTGACCCCATGGACCAGAGCATGCCAGGCACTCCTGTCTTCCACTGCCTCCGACAGTTTGGTCAAACTCATGTTGGTAGCTTCAATAACACTATCCAACCATCTCGTCCTCTGTCGATAATAATAATAATAATAATAATAATAATAATAATAATAGAATAGTAATAATAATTTAGAAAGTATATAGGAATTCTCACATTTTCTTTTCAGTGTACCCTAGCATCAAACCTGTACTAGAGGTTTGGCTAGAACAGAATCATAGAACTGTAAAGTTGGTAGGGATCTCAAGGGTCATCTAGTCCAACCCCCTACAATGCAGGAATCATTTGCCCAATGTGGGACTTGAACCCACAACCCTGACATTAAGAGTCTCGTGCTGCACCAACAGAACTATCCCGAGGAATGGATTGTTCGTTTCAGGTTTTCATTTGTAGTATCTCTGCTAAGCCACTGAAGCCAACCTTTTACAAAATGGTAATCTGTTAAAGTATGGTGCGTTTTTTAAAATATGCAATAAAATGAACCCACTGTGTTCTCTGCATCTTGAAACAAGAAATCTATGAGAATCTGATCACACATACTTTGGATATTAAAATTGAGGTGACAAGTCATTTCTGAGAAAGTTAGCTATTGCACATTCGCAAAGAATGGCTGATAGAGGAAGTGACTTTTCTTCTTGTGCTTCTTGTATAATGGACAAAATAGGGACACGTGACTCCCCAATCTAAGAGCAAATCTCCTCTGCAATGCAGGAGGGAGGGAGGAGGCAGACGAAGAAATCATCAGGTGTTTGTTTGAAGTGCGCGGCTTCTAATGTATTCAGCTCCATTTTATTAATGTTGTGAGCTGCTTTGAGGATTTCAGATGAAAAGTGAAAATAGAATCTAATGAATAAACCCACTTCATCCCCAAGGGCAGAAGTACATAGCTCCCAGTTGGGAGGTGGTGATTTACGAACTTGCTGCCCAGGGCTAAGAATGTTAAGTTGCTATTTCTTTGGAACTAGGAAGGCTAGTGGCTGTCTGAACACTTGACTAATAATCCCTTTCAGGGATGCCAACTTGAATAAAATAGTGGCAGTGGGGGGGGGGAGGTAAGCCCCGCCCTGCACAATCGATCACATGATGCGGCACATGCACACCATTTGAATGGCAATGCTCATCAACTTTGAGGGCCCCGGCAGAAGGGACCTTGGCCCCTGGGAGTTGGCTCCTATGATCCCTTTTAAAGAGGTGTGTGTCCCAGTCTTAATATACCTCCAGGGTGTAATCTTTTATATGCTTACTTGGTGAGGAGGGTTGTGGTGGGGGAGCTACATGTATTCTTGGATGACACGTATTAGTTAGATCAATTCTTCGCAAAGAGTGGAATGTTGACATGTGTTTTAATCTGGTTTTTAGCTTACTGTTGATTTTATTTT